AGGGGAAGTGCATCGATTTTTCAAGTAGGGTTCAGATGAAAGACAAACCCTACTTGAAAAATCGATGCACTTCCCCTTTAAGACCACATCAGTTGCCACTTCTTCATTGGCTTTTGGGTTGATATCGGTTTGAATGGCATATCTCTCGCTTGCATAAGATGAGCCAAACTTGCCAAATCGCCAATTGTATGCTCACGTTGCCATAGCGACCAGCGCAGTGATGACGCACATTCTGCTTAGCTCCGTGAGAGAGAAGGTCGATCATTGCAGAATTTGGTCATTTTCAATTGGTTTATTGTATTCACGAAGTGAAAGAATGGCTGTGTTCAATGCTGTTAGTGCCGTGAACTGTTTATTAGTAGTCCCCTCGGTTGTGTACTGGGACATGACACCGACAGGAGAAAGCTGGAGTGCGGAGACATCAGCAGACTAGCGACAATAGTGACGAATTAAGTGCTGAAATCTTGGTTGGGACGAATCAGACGTTCAGCATTTACCCCAACCAAGGACCATACCGTTTGCTCTTCCCACTTTCTGAAGATGGATATAGTGCTTCCTGGCAACTCTCCTATCTCTCGTGACATCTTCTGAAGCCAGGTGAGACGACGGGTGGTGGAGATTAGGGGTCAGTTTGCTTAGGAGAGATGGCGAATACCAAGCATCTTCTCCTAGAGGAACCATTTCCTACATTGTAGGCTAGAGTCAGCCTAGGGAAATGCAGGAGAAGGCCAATAAACAGTTCACGGCCCTAACAGCATTGAATACAGGAATACAGGAATACTGCGCTGGTCACTATGACAACGTGAGCATACAATTGGCGATTTGGCAAAGTCTGGCTTATCGTATGCAAGCGACAGATATGCCATTCGCACCAATATCAAATTGTTTTTCTTCTGGACCCTTCTTGAAAAATCGATGCACTTCCCCTTCTCGCTCCAGCGCACCCGAAACCGCACTCATACTACAAGTATCACAATCACAGCACAGTATAACACTCCCACCATCACCTGCTATGGCTGCACCACTGTCAGTCGCACACGGATTTCGGGCGCTGAAATGTTTCGCCTTCTATTTTGACAGCTCCGCGTTGCCCAGCGCCGGAAAGACTTTTACGGGTAATAAGCTTTCAGCGATGCAGCGCGAAGAACGGTTAGCCTTGGCTACTTTATCACTGTCTTTTCTGGCCTTGCTCGTTTCAGCGCCAGGTCAGCATTGCGTATTTCGGCGCCAAGTAGAGCATACATAATTATATAGAAAAGGGGGCACCAAGACGTGATCATGAATAATTATTTGAATCTTGGTACGTTCGGGCCTGATTTAAATCTGGCTTTGGAAATTTTATTTTCATTGCTATCAGGTTCGGATTCATTTTCTCTGTGCTGCGCTGAGGAGTTCACAAAGAACGAAACAGCATGCTGTCCGCAGATTAATCTTTTGAATTCTGAGGGTGGTGACAGTCAATTTTTCCTTCAGACTTTTTCCCGTTTGTGTCTTTCCCTCAAACTAGTCAAAATTCTATAATTATGGAATTCAATACATGTACTTGAAGTACTTCTAAAATGTCTCGTGGAAAGCAAGCCTGTACTGTAGCCTTGGTGGCTACTGCTGCCCAAAGGATAAGCGCTCTCGAGATGGACCCTTGCGGAAACTTAAATAATAATAAAATTTCACGGTTCGCGTGAGACTCGGTTGGAAGCCGAGTTTTTCGCATCCGCCGTGGGAACTCCACCACCCTCTAGGATCAAGGCGCAGATGCAACGCCTAAACGGTAAACTTGCTGCGCTAAAACTTACTAAAAGGCAGAGTGAAGGTTTGAGGATATTCCCATCCCCCTTCCCCATACCGAAAACAATTGCCATGCTGCAAAGAGGGAAGAGGTTCTCTAGAGAAGCTGCTAGGCCTTTCCCAAATCGGCCGGCCGAAAAATTCGCCGAAAAGTAGCCTTTTCAGAAAATCGCCGATCTTTTGGCCGAATTCTGAGATTTTACCAAGAAATCGCCGAATACCGTATTATCTCTAATATAAGCACAGTCTCCAATATTAGAGAGGTTAAGATGCACGTTATTTCTGACGTGACGCGAAAGTTCAGCTCGCGTTATTTGGCTCGCACGTCGAAAAATCAACGCGAGTGACCTGCTGCTCGCGTAGAAATTTGGAGTTTTACGCCAAATTTGACGTGAAATTGCGCGTCACGTCGGAAATAACGTGCATCTTAACCTCTCTGCACGTCTCCAATAATAGAACACCTTGGAGCGGCATTCAAAAAATAAAGTGCTCAGTCTCCATTATAAGCACACTGTGTAAATTCATTATCTGTACGGGCGAAAAAAAACCCTGAAATGTGTGTGTCTGACATGAATATGGTCATGGCAACATGCTTATGAAATGAGGTTGAAATAATAATGGAACAGTCTCCAATAAAGGAACGTCTCCATTAATAGCACGGGGCGGAGGTACATTGAAAAAATAAAGGACTGTGCTTTTATTAGAGATAATACGGTATACAGTGTACATGTTTTGCAGGGTCGTGGGCAACTGGGCATGCCCGCTCGTGCGCGCCTGCGCCACGGCCCGTGGGCATTTCCCAAATCGGCCGGCCGAAACATTGGCCGAAAATAGTGGTTTTGAAGAAATCACCGATCTTTTAGCCGAATAACCAATTTTCGCACTGAATACGTCGAAAATTGATGTTTTAGTGCCTCAATAGCATGCAAATACAATTTCTGTAATCATTGTCTGCGAAAGGTGGCTGTGACTTTAGAGCCGAATTTCCACCTTTTACAGAAATTTTCAGCCGATCGAAAAGCCGAATAGGCCAAAATAAATGGCCGATTTGGGAAAGGCCTAGAAGCTGCATGGCTACATGATGAAAGAAAAAGCAACTACACCGACCGAACCAATTCCCAAAATCAACTCTGCAGTCACCGGACAACTCCACGAAATGGATACCCTGGCAGCATCCACGCTACTACTACCAGTAGCATCTCTATCTGCCTTGTTGTTGTTGTTGTTGTTGTTGTTGTTGTTGTTGTTGTTGTTGCCAAGTTGTTGTTGTTGTCGTTGTCGTTGTCGTTGTCGCTGTCGTTGTTGTTGTTGTTGTTGTCGTTGTTGCTGCTACTGTTGTCGTAGTTGTCGTTGTTGTTGTTGTTGCTGCTGCTGCTGCTTAGTAATTTTACACCGCATGTCAAACCGGCAGTCCAGCTGCCCAATAATACGGAGGATTAGCAAGACGAAATTCGCGTTCGTGTTCGCAAACATTTTTCGGTTCGCGAATTGGATTGCGAACTAATACGGAGGATTAGCAAGACGAAATTCGCGTTCGCGTTCGCAAACATTTTTCAGTTCGCGAACTGGATTGCGTACTTTCGCATTTTTCGTTCGGAAAAGTAGTCGGAACACGAATCGCGGATTCGTGTCAGGGCAGTCATAAATTTACCACGCTGTAGTGTCTGTACGCAATGTACGTCGTGTCAACGTCATGCAAGTGCGAATTCTGTCTGCTAATCCTTCTCATAACGCGAATTCCGTCACTGAGTTCGACTTTCCTTGGAGAGCGAACGCGAACGCGAATTTCGTCTTGCTAATCCTCCGTAATAGCAAGACGAAATTCGCGTTCGCGTTTGCTCTCCAAGGAAAGTCGAACTCAGTGACGGAATTCGCGTTATGAGAAGGATTAGCAAACAGAATTCGCACATGCATGACGTTGACACGACGTACATTGTGTACAGACAGTACAGTGTGGTAACTTTATGACTGCCCTGACACGAATCCGCGATTCGTGTATTTGGCGCTGAAATGAATATTTCTGTGGATTGTGGGCGCTGAGATAAGCAATACTGCACTTCGCCCGCGCTTATGTAACAAAGGCTACATTTTGTTGGCGCTATAATACTTGCACTGCATGACATTGGGCGTATCCATGGCGTGTGGAACTGGAAAAAGCGAATGCTTTTTTTCTTTCTTTTTCCGCGTAACCCGGTAAGCTTCCATATTGAAGACTGAATCGGGTTCGGTGCGGCGATGTGAATTCTAACCAAGTAAGTCACGGGCACAATCGTGGAACACAGAATGTGGAGAATGATCAAGCCACGGTTCGTCGGAAATGCGAAATGATGACATGTCGACAACCCAATGTTTTTAAAAACACTGCTCTTCAGTGCTGCTCAATAAAATTCAGTCGCGTCACTCGAGTTAGCGCTTTGCATCATTTCGCAGGCCAGTGTTGGCAGGTCTAGGGCTGCGCAACGCCCAGCGCGGACTTGAGTGACGTGACTGGATTTCATTGAGCAGCACTATGCATGTAGTTCATCATGCGTGTTACTCGGACTTATATTATAGAAACGTCTTTGCAACACGGAAACCGGGTTTTAATTAAGCTTAGTAAAAAGCGAAACTTTAAAACTCACAACTCCAATTTCCAGCTCTGCAGACCTGTCAATTCTTCAAAGAACTGTAGTTAGCTTATATTATGCTATGGTCATAGCCTTTTTTATTTATTTATTTATTTCCACACATAACATGGGATTCGAACCCGCACTTCCGCTCTTCATGCATTCCCTAGCCATGTAGGCAGTAGATATATTGCGCATACATACGCATTCTATCAAGTAAGGGGGCAGTCACATTGAGGGAATAGTCCTCAGAATGTAAACCGGAATTTGTTTATTTACTTTTATCACGCTCACACTGGATGTGCACGATTAAAAAAATCTAACCCACACGTGCTATATTTTTTGTCACCAATATGACCGGCCCGGCCCCTTAGTAGTTGCTTCATGTTATGGTCCTGCCATTGAAAGCACTATTTGAATATTTGACACGCTTTCTTTTACGGTATGGTACAGTTTGGGACACAAACGGGATACCGGGCCAACCATGGCGCGTCATGTGAAAGGCCCTACCACACAGGCACACACACACACACACACACACACACACACACACACACACACACACACACACACGCACACACACACCGAACGGGAGAGCACGTCATCGCATTATGCACCACGTGGTAATGACCCTACCAACGGCCCTACGAACCACACACATTATTTTTATTATTTGTTTTTATAATAATTATATATAAAATGAAATAGAGGTTGCGACTTCGGCAATATAATATATAAAATATATCTTGACTAGTTTGAGGGAAAGACACAAACGGGAAAAAAAATATATAAATACAAATATGGGCAAATTAACACAATGGTTTACAAACACACATAATCATTATTGTAATACAAAATAAAGTGGTGTAGACCCTGGCTAGCGCTAGACGCTACTGAAGTAACATCTTTTGCATAGCTTCGGGAATACAAATTCAATAGAATACCAAGATCACGGGAGATTAAAATTGCTTTTCCATGCACGATTTTCCATTGGTGGGAAACTTGCCACCTCATTCCATACAGAGATTGTCCATGCTAGAATGCTACAGAATTAGGAAAGGCTTTTACTAATTCTTTAACCAAATTGTTTATATATTAACACCAGGCTAGACACTTCTATCTTTGACACATCTGTAGACTATAGCCACAAACAACGTTATATGAAGCAATGCAATCTAGTACATTGAGATAAATGTCTGCAAACTTGAACACCGCAGTAGGCAGGCCATTCCGCCTTTGCCACCTTTCATGTTATATGTAGGTACATGCACGTATAGATCCGTACGCATGCATACGCGCAAACACGCACGCACACACACACACACACACACACACACACACACACACACACACACACACACACACACACACACACATACATACACACAGTAACGCAGTCCCACTAGACACACTATACGCACACCGTCACGCTACTTCGTCTAAAAATCAGATGCCACATAGAAATGATCCCCAGAGGTGAACTTGTTGCAGCTCTGCACAACACCAAGCTGACCCTCTCGACAAGTCTGTGGGAGAAACCTGAACCTTGGTATAGAAAACATGAACACACGCTAACACACAATACAATACAATACAATAATGCCCATCCGCAGATGATGGCAGGTCCGGACAGGAATGACAGTGTTTCAGCCACGGGAACAGAACTTTGAGTGGCGAGTGAGTTCCTGGCGACGGCGAAACTCTCGGCCGCAGCGGCACCTGAAATCCCGAGACACAGGTTTAGGCGGCTGGATGGTGTTGGAGGCCAATCTCGACTCACGACGGTCCTCGGCTAGGCTGTACCAGTCATTGACGCACACACACGCACGCACACACATACACACACACACACACACACGCACAGTCACACGCACACATACATGCACACTCACTCACACACACACACACATGCACAGACACACGCACACATACACACACACACACACACACACACACAAATACACACGCACACCCACACACCTTTATGACAACATTTTTCAAGTATCTGTGGACAGAAATGTTTCTTCCTTTGTGAACCCATTAATGGTGTGCAACACAGAGAAAACGAGGCCCAGCAATGAACTAAAGGGGAAAAAATTCACGGTTCGCGTGGGACTCGGCTGGAAGCCGGGTTTTCCGCATCCGTAGGAACGCCACCACCCTTCAAGGATCAAGGTGCAGATGCAGCTCCTAAAGCGGTGGGAGGTGAGTAGATCAGCTCACCAGCAAGTGGTCAAAGACCGAAAATCCCATTCACTGCATCCATGTTTCCTCGTGCCAGGCCACGAGTTCCCAATTAACTGTGGGTCGCAGCATGGTTGGAAAAAATCCTTCCGCTTCCAAGCAGGACTTGAACCTGGTACCCTCTGTTTCTCAATCATGGTCTTAGACCATCCCACTGTGCCTGCCTGCCTAAGGGGAAGTTAAGCCTAAAATCAAATTTTTCACCAGTTGTAGTCTGTGGGTGCTGAGGCGAATGGTCTTGGTCTGAGGCAGCTGAGACGCACACTCCCTCCTTTATTCCCAATCGAACTCGCCATTTCCACCAAAACTGGGTGAGTGCACCCCTACTAGAAGGGGTTTTGCATGCAAAAATTGCTTCGACTCAATAAATACCACTGCACCTTTCCCTAAAGAGGAGTAATTTATACACAGTGTTTATTGGGTTTTGAGCCAATAAACACTGTGTAAAATACCACTATGGCCAATAAATGCTGTGTATAAAATACTCCCTTTTAGGGAAAGTGCCAATGTCATGTAGTCGTATTTATTCAGCTTTTATTTCTTGTGTACTTGCATACTGGTATTAGTTTAGTCCCACAACTTGTGATAAAATGATCAGCTGTAGCACCTATTCCACTTTTATGTTTATGTATCTATGTCATTCGGATCTTCCCAAGTTGTACATTGTACTGTTGAGATACCGAATTCAAATAAATCATTAACCATACCATACCATACCACACCACACCACACCACACCAAGTGCAGGTGAACATACATGATTGTACATATGTGTATAATGTAAAATAAATAAATGTAGCAATGAAAAGGACATATGGATACGAGTTAAGAGTAACTCTCCATCTCTGTAACTGGATACTATATACAGTCAGAAAGTGCAATAACTAGGCACAAAACTGACAGAGTACTGAGACATTCGACGTCCTGACCCCTAGCTTCAACCCATCTCCGTAGCGCTAACCGACAGCCTTCCAACTTGGAAGGTTCAACGTTATGAAAAGACCAAAGAGGGGAAGGCAAGTGCAACGAAAACGAGCAAAAGCTACAGTCCCAACGGAACAAAGAATGTCGATTGTTACTGAACGATGACGAGACCATTCCTTCATTTATTTATGGCTCAACATCCGAGTTTCAAATATAGCAGCCTCAGGATTTATTGCAAGTACTTACCAGTTATAAAAACCTCTGCTTCGTCTCAGTTTTTATATAGGTATGTAATTGCAATAAATCATGAGGCTACTACATTTCAAAAAGAAGAAGCGAACACATGGAAACGAGTTATGAAAAACTATCCACGAATGTAACAAGATAATAAGCGGTCAATATGTGCGATAATAGGGCACACAATTGACAGGCTACTGAGACATTCAGCAACCTAAGACCTAGCTCTAACACATCTCCAGTGCACATACCAACAGCCTTCCAACTTGGAATGTTCAAAGTTGGGTAGGACCAAAGAGGGGGAAGGTGAGCGTAGCGGAAATGTGTACAAGCTAAGTCCCACGGCAACAAAGAATGCTGACTGCTACAGGACCATGACGAGACCAGTTAATAACATGACAATGCAGTCTAACTACAATTCGAAGCAGCAAAGCACAGGCCCGTCGCACCGACTTTGGAGGTGGGGCGGCCATGGAAGGCCGCCCTCTCTGACGTTTCCAGCAGAGAGACCGTGTTTGCATGCTTCGATCGAGGAAATAATAGGACATTACAATTAAGTAATGCGATAAAAAGAATTAATTGTGCCGTCATGTCCACCCACACAAACACACACACACACACACACACACACACACACACACACACACACACACAGCAAGGTACACAAAAGCACAATGAATTCTTTCTACTGCATCACTTATAAAATTGTTGTCCCCTTGCCGCCTTTTACATCACAATTACAGTCTACTTACTACTCATCCTCTTCTTCTTTTTCTTGCAGATAAACTGTGACAGTGGGCTCGCCATTGCTGTTCGTTTGTGCATGCCGCCGGGCTAACACATCAACTTTCTGGTCTTTTGAATGCTGGAACAGTTTCCCTCCCATGCCGTACAGTGCAAAGGTCTGTGTACAGTTCAGCCGCTGGAGTACTTGGTTGATCACGTGAAGCACAGAATCAGATCTCTGCGCGGTGACCACTCGCTTCACTGGCCGCGTCGTGTCGTTCAAATCAACCACCTCCACGACCAGAGAGGTGGCCAGCTCATCCGCAGCACTCGGCCTGCGAACCACCTCGAGGCAGCATGGATCACGGGGTGTCTTGGACAAGATCTCTTGCTCTAGCTGCTTAGCTGTTACTTCTTTCAGGAAAGACGACACCATGATGACGAGCTGCTTGAGGTGAAGACCCAGCACTCCTACGGGAAGGATGCTATGAAGAACACTCTCATCCAAGCTATTCTCAGTGCTCTCGGTACCGACATCTTGTGTTAGAAGAGTGAGTAAACTGAGGCTAGGCTGCTTTTCCACCTGCCGCTGTACAGTCAGCAGAGCGTCACGGAAACGCTTCAGAAACTCCACAGACCTGGCCAGGTCACCGCTGGCATGCACCAGTTCCTCTAGCTGTTCTAGGATAGTTTTCTGGTCTTCCCCTCTCATGGCGTGAGCCAGGCTACGTGGAATCTGCGTGAACTCACTGCGATGCTGCCGCCTCTCCAGTGCAAGCTGCAGGGCGCCCAAGTTTTCAAGGCGGATGAAGCGCCCGAATGCCTGCAGGTTTGGATACTCAACGCTGTGGCTCTGCCGTGCATGCTCCATGTACTGGTCGAGACTCTGCTTGTGACGTTGGCCGTCGTCCGGCCAGTTTTGTTGTTTGATGTCTCTCATCAGCTGTCGCAGGTCTAGAAGTGTGTCAGTCAACTGGGCGTTGCTGATGTTGAAGAGCACATGCTCCAGTTCGATATCCTGACGAAGGTCCGTCTTCTTAGTGGGGCTGCTTGGTGTGACGCTGAACACAAGCCCATCTTCATCCTGGAAGAAGAAATGCGTCGCGCTGCTATACGAATCCCAGCTGATTCGCCGCATCTTGCTGATATGGCGCGTCACCACTTGGACTTCCATGGTGTCCGCATCAATGTTCATGACCAGACGTCGCGACTTTCGATCATGCTGGCAATGAACACGTAGCAGCTGCTCCAAGTCATCACTGCTCATCTCCAGCAGCTCAGCACCATTGTGTGCAATGACGTCTGCGGGCATCACTGCCTCTGCGTGCAAATTCTGTGCCAGATACATATCTAGAGGGGAGCGTGCTACTTTGGAGTGGCGAGAGCACAGTGTGTACAGCGCCGTCTGCCATGACAGAACGAGAGTGATCAGATGATTCAGGCGCGAGCCCTGCGTCTGGGGACTGTGGATGTTCACAAGATCCTTCAGTGGTGTAGTATCAATGATGGGACTGTGTTGCCATGGGCCAACTACTTCCATCGGCATTCTGCTGATGGCCTTACTGATAATGTTGTAATCCACCTTAGCCTGTTCAAACGTTTCCTGAAGGAGTCGACCTGCCTGACCGCCAATCAAGTCAATACCATCCTTTACAGCCAAGGTATTTGTTATAACATCAGCAAGGTAGAACTGTCTTGATCCAAATGCATGGATATCAACAAAGAACTTCATGATGCTGAGCAGCCGCCTGACAAGCTGTAGGCGTGGGTGATACGCCATTACGTAAGCCAGGATAGGGTTGTCGGCATGCGCTGCGTACCAAACATCTCTTTGGCAGTTGTACTGCGACCGGAGCTGTGCCCAGTGAAGTGCTGCGAAGCTCTCACCGAGCGATCTGGTCAGATAGCGGTTTAGAGTGGCACAGTGTGTTTCAAGTGCTGTTTCTACAACATCACGTTGAAAGGCGGCTTCCATTTCCTCCAGTTGAGGCAGGTTGATGTAACTTGCCCTGAAGGTGGGTCCTGTGGGGTTGTTGGCATGCTCCACCATGCACTGGAGAGCAGTAAGCATGTACGATTTCATGCTCAGTGGTGACATACTGAGTTCTGCACGCGACATCTCATTGAACAGGCTGCGTGCTGCTGCAAGACACCTCTTTGTCAGTAATGACCGTGCATCTGGTGGTGAGAGACCCTGGTCATGGTCCTGGTCGGCGATCACATTGTCAGTGGCGGTCGGAAACAGAACGGTATGCCAACAGAGTGCAATGCACGTCAGCAAGGAACTGAGCATAGCGCCCAACACGGACAAGCGCGATGGACGCTTTCTCGCCTCAAACGCCATGACAGGCCACGCAAGACCATGGGCATCATCTGGCACGCACGTGCGCAGAAACCCGTCAATGATTGAAGACTGTGCTTCGGCCTGGCCCAGCTGCTTGCCGTGGCTGGACAGTGATCCAAAGATGTATGATCCCCTCAGAATGTCAGGGCAGTAGACACAAGTGTGCAAGTGACAATTGGGACCCATTGAAATGATGGCTACTAGAGTGGACACATACATCTCCTCCAGCATGTGATACTCTGCTGCAGAACCATTGCCACCGATCATGTCCCAAAATTCCTCACAAATAGGTCCACTGTTGCTAAAGAGTAGGCGATACACGCCTTCCAGATTGCCACCTGGTGCAAGCTTGCTGTACATAGTCTGTATGCCAATTCTGTTGAACTTGAAATCTTCATTGAATGCCTTCCAAACTAGGCAGGCCTCCATGCGACGAAAATATGAGCTGCTTCCATCTTGTTGCGCCAATAGGTGCAATGTCTTCGGCAAGCCGGAGATTTTCAGCGAGCTGTTGAGATCCTGACGTGGACCTGCAAAGTTTTTACGCTGCACGAGACAGGGCAAGATCTCACACTCTGCTGTATTGATGGAGTTCGACAAGAGAGAATTACTGTACTGCAATAGCACTAAAGGCCTGCATCTCTCGGAGAGCGTCACAGCCCACTTGTCACCAATTCCAGAGATGGCATCTTGAACCATTGGACAGTTAATGGTCGTCACTATTTTCCAGGTGAAAAGGTCAAGAAAGGCACTCTCCTCCTCTATTGCTGCAAACAACTTGGCCATTGGCTGAGCGTCAGGAAATCCTTGTTGTCCGGCGATAGATCCTTGTCTGTGAGTTTGCTGAGCATACTCTTGAATTCCCGCTGCTGCCTCTTCAGTCGCAATGCATTTCTTGGCCATTTCCTGGATGGACAGTGTGGAAAGTGGAGTTCTGTCCTGCATTTCTCTTCTGAAATCACGTCTCACAATCATGCCGTCATCGCAGGCTGCGTTCACGTGGTACTCAAAGGCGTCGAGATTCGGAAGCCGGATTTGTCGTCGCCATGTGTACGCCAACTCGTAGAACGCCTGTTCCAAGGGCATGACCGGCTCTTTGCGCTTGGCTCTCGACGATGTCCCCGAAGGCAGGTGGCCCGGCGTGAATGTCAGCGTGATCTCACCCTTCTGTACACCAATCCATTTGCTGATGGCCTGCTCGATGCCGTGCTGCACACGTGATCTTGGGCAATTCAGGTCCTTCACCAGCTTGTCTTCAATCTTCGCAAGCAGTGCTGCCCCAGACTTTGCTGGCATGTAGCAGTGATCAAAGCGAAGGATGGAATATGAACCGTGAATACAAGTCAGCAGCAGTTCAAAGTCATGGTCGTTGACGCATTCGCCGACAGTCGAGAAAGTCTGCAGCATTAATCTTTGCACGAACCACTCACCACAGCCGTACTTTAACTGGACGATCTCGCTCGGAAGGTGAATCTCCTCGTGCTGGCTGAGGAGTCGGTCCAGTATCTTGTCGAGTGAAACATCTCTTGCACTGTCGTCAGGTATGAGAGTGCGCAGAACCTTCAGCAGTGGATGAGGATTCGTACTGGTCAGAGAGGACAGGACTAGGTTAGCAGCAACAACAAGCTTCACCTGGCCGGCGCTGCTTTCAGGCACTGCATCGACTGGTTGCTTTGCGCCTTGTCCTTGACTGGACTGCAGATAATGGAATGGCCAGTACTGGAACGCATAGTCCACCGTCTTCTTCCATCTCAACAACTGTGGCAGCAGTTTATCTGGCTCATAGCTGCCACTGCATAGTATCTTGTTCAGCTCAGACCACAGCTTCTCCACTAGAACACAGCCCAAGCGGTGAAGCAGGTCCCTTGCCTGTAGTGCTGGATTCGTATCACCCACCAGCTGATGGACTTCTTCTGCACACGCCTCCCGACCTATTAACTTCAGTAGAGCATTCGAGCCATGCAAGGCACTCAACAGTAACTGGCGGTTTTTGCGTATGTGGACATGGGTGAATGAGAAGAGATCTGGCGGGCCTTCCACTCCAAACGCCATCTGTTCGGTGTAGTTCAGTTGGACGAAGCGGGCAGCTACCTCAAGAGTGAGCCTCGGCTTCTTCCAGTCGAACTTGTACACCAAGCTGTCAACAACGCACAGCTCGAGGAATGCACGCATATCGAGAAGTGGTCGGACAACAACACTTTTCATCATGCCTTCGTGAACAGCCCCCAGAGTTTCCCTCTCCGTAGACACTGCAGCGTTGACATGCGTGATAAATTCCTGAAAGAAAGGTGTCGTGTACAGGTGCCTGTTGCCGTGAAAAAGCCGCCCGTCGGTAGCCAAATCCACTCTCCGTGCAGGAACAAGCATCAGCAACTTCTCGACAAGGCATTTCTGCTCGACCAGCTGTAGAACATTGTGTAGGTTGTAGTCACTAAGGAGCGCCAACAGCAATGTTTGCATCAGGTCCTTTAAGGCTGCATCGGTTTCAACGAAAATCAGGTCCTCCAGGCTGACGTAGATGTCTTGCTTGATTATTTGTTTGGAGAACTTCTCTGCCCACTCACTTCCTTCTTCTATCAGCCAGGAAATCAATGCATTGGCAAGCCAAGCAAATATTCCTGGAACAGTCTCAATGACCCATTTCAGTGCCTTGAGGCGTACCTCAGAGTGTGATGGACTGCTGGCTGAAATCGGAGCAAACAGCGGTCGTACAGAGGCAGGAAGCATTTCCAGATGGGCATTACTCATGCGAACATCGTGCAGACTTCTGCAGAAGTGATCACAGAAGAGATCCACGTGCTTCTCCAACAGTGGTTTTAGCCGTGACACATGGTTCTGTCTGCCGGGAGGCTCCCAGCTGCCGGACCACTTTGTGAAGGAGAGGAATTCGGGGATAGAGATGGGACAGCAGCTGGATAGACTGTCCACGGAGACAAAGTTGGACTTCCAGCCGTTCAGCATGGCACCGCAGGCATCCTTGTGCAGGGGGTTCTTCAGAAGAACATCTAGCAGTATCACAAACAGTTTGGTTTGCTTGATGCCGTTCCGGCGCAGCTGAGTGCAGTGATCGTCAATGAGTCTCTTCAGAGGACCAATTGCGGATTTCTGGGATGGCTGTGACACATCCACAGAGAATACTGTACACGCCATTGGTCCTCGGCTAAATTCCTCCATGGCTTGTCGGAGTTCAGAGAAATGCTGAAACTTGCTTAATATGTGTATTTCTGTCATTTCCGAAAGAGTTCTGCCAAGGCACCTCTCTCGGAGATCGCTGGATCTTGTCAGCCGTTGAACGTCGGATGATGTAGATTTCGTCAGAAGCATTAGCTTCGCCGTTTTGTCTCTGGAATGCTCCGTTGTGCGCAGTGTGTTCTCCAGTATAGCTCGAAGCGTGAACGAGTTCTGGCGGCTCTCGACGAAGAACTTATGATAGGCTGACGGCGGGGTAAGTAACTGGCAGGAAGATATGTAGGACTCAAGAGGCATGAGCTGAAAGTAGCTAGCCACAATTCTCCGTGTGGCAAGCCGCACAAAGTCACCAGCGGGCGTTTGCCCTCGGTCGTGCACTGAAAACCGACCATTACCGCTAGACTTTAGCAAGTTGAGGAATTGAAGGAACAATGTACCACTGAACATGGAAGACCACTGCAATTGGTCGGCAGCAGCTGACGATGACATTCTGGGAGTTCCTTCCTCTATTACTACCTTCCCTGGTGCGGCAGTAGAGTCACTGCCAGCTCCAAAGAAGTAGTGTGCATTCATCTGGGTCGTAAAGAGTTCGCACTGCTTTTGCACGCTGCGCAGTAGCCGATCTGCATCCGTGTTCCTGAGGACATACTCCCAGCCTTGGCACGGGTGCAGGGTGTGCTTGGAAAACCGGCTTAGGAACGGTGTTCGCTCTCTCGTCGCGATCTCCCTGCTCAAGATGATAATGCACTGGAAATTTGGATGAATTTGGCACGGAAAAGTACCGTCTCCCATTGCTATGTTCGAAAATGCACAGCACTTGCCCTTTTCCTGTAGCATCAGATAGTTCTTGTTGAAGAGCTCATACAGGTAGCCATGTAGCCTGGGGGAGTTGACAATCACAACTGTGCACGGCTGGTTGAGAAACTGACGCAGCTGAGCAAGGATACTTGCACACTGCACATCGTTTCCCTGCTTCATCCCGTCGTCCTGCTGAAAGACCAGGGTTTGGCCAGGATTTCTGGATAGAACTCCCAGTTGATACAACATATCCACAGTGTTGTAATCGCAGCCATAGTCATCGATGAAGAGTAGGTAGCGGGGTGCAACTGCACTGAGGTTTGTGAAGTGCTCGGATGCATTTTCAGGGTGCAGCTTCTTACGCAGCTGAAGTGCTATGTCGATAGGAGTGCGCAGGGAGGCAACATCAATTTCCTGCGGAAATGACGCAAGGCGGCTGTGAACCTCCTCAAAGAAGGCATTAGCTATGGCCTTGAACTCTTCTGGATGCCGGCCACCAAAGCTCTCTTCAAGCGCCCTCAGGAGGGAATCAGCCGTCATATTGATCTCTTCGGATCCGGTCACCAGTTTGGAGCGCAGGAAGAAGCGGAACAGTGCGATCAGGTCACGCTGGTGGAACCAGTCGGGAATCATTTGGCAAACTCGCCGGTAGCCATTACATATACCATGCAAAAACTGCTCCAGGGAAGGTGGACACAGCTCAGGCTGCAAGCACAGGCAGCCATAAGCCAAGCTGATCAAGTCATGCCCAGACTGTGATTTCCCACAGTCCTCTTGCCCAGACTCTCCTTGCCTGGACTCCACTTGCCCGGTCTCCTCCTGCCTGGACCGTCCTTGCCCTGCTGCACGCGAGCGGAACACCGTCAGCATGCGGTTAGTGTTGGCAGCATCAAACCAGTGGTTGGACATCGTCACGAATGAGACCTCGGGCTCGTCAAGGTACGGGTGAAGTACTTTCATCACCATGCGGTTCCTTTTCACACTAAGCAGTCCGGCTTCATCGATGAACACAGTGACTCTGGTGCCTCTTCCTTTCAGAGCGGATGACACTGGCGTAGGCCGGTGCTTACGATAGTAGTCCTTTCTGTCAATGGCACTGTTGAACAGCTTCTGAATCTGATCGGTGCTGGACTCAGGCGAGCACTGGTAAAAGAACGGGTCTATCGCACCAAACTGCTGGCAAAACTTGGTGACAGACCCGTGCTCACCGGACAAGTTCTGGCGCACAATCTGGTAGGAGAGAGTCTTCGATGAGCCCGGCTCACCGATGATGCCCATTGGAATTTTCTCTTGGATGCAGGCGATCATGCAGAATATGTTCTCCTTCAGCGCCGGTGTCAGGGCCACGCCATACGGAATGAGAAAGTTCTCCTTGGTCACCACCCTGTTGATCTCGTCCTCTAGCATAGCCTGCAGGGAGAGTTTGATGGCCTTAAACTTACGCTGCACGTGATTGGAAACGTAGACATCAAACTTGGCCCGGGATGCCCTACGATACTTGCGAGTCGGCTCCAGCGGCAATCTTACCAAGAACACCAAGGATATGGAGAGAAGGATGCATTTTTGAAGGACCTGGTTTGCGTCAGAAATATCGTCGGGCTCCAAAAGATTTGTCTCGATGCTCCAGAAGTGCGGTATGAGCTTGAAGACACGCTGTACATCACGCTGGCTGACAAAACTCCGAGTGACATTGTCTCGACAGAAACAATATGAATGAAACAGGAACTCTTTGAGGACACCCAGCATGCGATCAGAGAACTGAGCCCCGGCATTAATGGCGTCTAGGCGCGGGTCGGTCTTCAGGAAGTCAATCTTTCCCTCGGTGTATTCAAACAGCTCGTCGGGGCCAGTCAGGCTCTGATAGATCCAGCGATGATATTTCATAACGGTGGGTAGCTTTACGCTAATATTGTACACCTGGCCAAGCTCGCGGTCACACCTCTTTAAGATTTCATCATCTTCAGTCGCATTGGGCTCGAAAGCAAAATAGTTAGTGCTCCACGGCCCATTGATGTGGACCTGATCCTCTTTATTGCACGGATTGAGAGCGGCAACAAAGAACAGCTGATCGTGGTGGGGAATAGCTTGGCCGTCAAATGTCCCATCAAGCATGATTTCCTTGAACAAGTGCATGTACCTAGATGTGTTGAACTCGTCGAAAAACACAACAACTGAGTGACCATGCGTGTTTTCAGCCAAAATCACCACATCATCAAGTAGAAACCGCCTGATGTCCTCCTTGACGAGACCAGGGTGCACAAGCATCTTTCGGAACAGATCCTTGGTTTTCGTTTCGAGCCAGCCTTCCAGCAGCCGTTTGCTATGAGCATCTGTCAAATTAGGATCCGCAAGGAGCTCAGAGAACTCAATGGACAGAGGCTCCAGTATTGTTAGCTTGTTGCACCAAGAACGAATCCCTTCCTGCAGAAGTCTCTTTGCGTTGGACGCGGGTTCACGTCGCAAGAGGCTGAGGAAGTGGAGCCAGCTCTCGAACAGGTGCTCCGTTCCAAAGTCATGCCAGTCACAACCTTCGCTGAATCCAAGATGTCCTTTCAGACGATCAGGCAATGGTTGCCAGGCTGAGCCACATCTCGGGTATTGGATGCGATTCAGCATACTTAGCTCAGTCCAGAGCGGTCCAAAGATGATCTGCTTCAGCAGGTTCAACAGCCTGGGTTCCGCACGGTGGGCGGCCTCCATTCTAGAGCTGTTAGCGGTGGCAAACGCAGACAGCATAGTATAAAACTTAAGCAAATAGGTCTTTCCAGCACCAGTTTCACTCTCCAGGATCAAAGACAAGCCGAGCTGCTGACGCTGCTTGATCAAGATCAGCTTGAAAGTGAAGTCCGCAGTCAGGACAAACTTGCTATCCGACACAAGGCGTTCAACATCTCTCTTCTCTATTTGGAATGCCCAGCTGAGTAGTCCGATCTGCTTCTCTCGCGAGACTGGAATGTAGGTCCAGGATCGACTGCGTGTTCGATCGTTACGATTACGAAGCACGAGCAAGTTGGGCACATTCTGCTGTGTGATGTCGGTGGCCATCAACGAGAAGGCATCACAAGCAAGAAAAGCCTGCGAACATCCACGGAAGACACACCTCAGGTTGGGCGTGGCCAGGTACTTTGCCTCCAGGATGATTTGATGCATTACCTCCCAGGCCAAGTCCTTATAGGAGACACCATCCTTAAGTAACTTGGTGGTCTCAAGCATTGTTTTCCACTTTGCCGCAATGTACTTCAGGCAGAAGACTTCCTGAACGCGATTATCTCGTGGGAGACCATACGTTTGGAACAAGCGATCAAACATATACAAGCTCTGCTTCTCAATGACCCAGTCGGAGCAAAGCACACTGATATTGCCATCAATAACATCCGTCCCGAGCTTGTGTCCGAAGAACAAGTCAAGCAGCCGTGCCAGCTTTTCGTGTTCAGTGGACAGTATCATCTTTTTGCTGTCAGTGCGCTGCAGTGGCTTGCACACTAACGACGTCATTAGAAATGGCAGCTTGCAATATACTGAGTTGTCTGTGTCACAATCTGAGAAGCCGTCCTCACACATCTCTATGAACCACTTGAATTTCCTGCCTGAGTTTGGCTCAATGGCGACAACATGCCTGGTGTCGGTACTGCGCATGGCACCACACCACACCAGCTCGAAGAAAACCCGATCAACATCAGCTAGGTTGGCGTTGGACGGCAGGCGGAAGTGAATGCTGCCAGTGCGCTGCTGAAGTCGCTCGTTGCCCTGAACTGCGACCATCAGCACTTGACATATGTCGGCTGTGCGATCCACTTGAATCAGATCAATGACGACCGGCAGAGCACCATCCTCACGACGGCACATTTCATTTATCCAAGTCGTCTTTCCAACACCGGCAGGACCACCAACAACAATCAGCTCCAAACCCAGGGAAAACTTGCCTGCTTTGTCCAGGGCATTGTAGCAAGTGCGTAAATTGTCCACACTGCCTCTCGGAATGACTGCTTGCTCCAGCTCTATCAGTTTCGGCCAACAACTGTGGAAAGCACTATTGTAAGCCAGATAGAACACCTTGCTACTTGTGCAAGCATGCTCCTGCTGCTGGCGTGGCTGTGCTAAGAACTGCTGCAGCTCCAGCAGAGCGGACAGGCAGTCAGCCGTTAGCAGATCAATTCCGACCACAGCAAATGTGCCAGAGGAATTACCTACTGCATTGCTAAAGCTGCGAAGCTCTGCCTCGGTGGTGTGAGGGGAACAGAAGAGAAACTGAGCGCGGCAGGGTAAGTGGTCGCGGAAGCTTTGGCAAAACAGTGACACCAGCGCATCGGATCTGTCATCAAAGGAGTGGCATCCTTCAACAGTGCACAGGTATTGCTGAACGACTGGTGCGAGTGCATGGATGCCATCTCTCGTCGGCCTCACAAAGTGCCTGTTTGTCACAAGTTGTAACAGCCGCACCAGTTGGTCAAGAACGTTGTCGTCTTCTTTGGATCCAACTTGTTCCAAGGCAGACAGTAAACCAGGCTGTGTCAACTGCTCAGGTTTTGATGAGATCAAATGCGATGCAGACAGCAGAATCCACAATAGTAGACTGGCATGTTGGCGGTGGTCGGATCTTCCATCTGTTGTCAACATCTGGACATGTTCCGACATGCTCCCGATGTCGTAGTCAGAGAACAAGCGTAGTGCGGGACATTTCAACTTTGCGTCAGCGAGCAGCTCATACCAGACGCACAGCTTCTCGCACACTTCAGCCAGTCTTGTAGACAGGTTATCTTTGCGTAAGGGTAGTTGAATGCACTGCATCTGTCTGAGGTAGTTGAAACATCCGCATGCTTCTAACTCCTGTACTTTACCAAGGAGCTTCTCCAAAATGGCAATTGACTCTGACATCCCGTGGGCCAAGTTTTCCCACTGCTCAATATGGTACAGATACGGAAGACACACATGGAACTGGCGCATCTCAGACATACTCTGCCATTTGGGATCCTTGTCAGAGCTATCCACTTCAAGCAAGCACCGATAGCGGTACGGTTGCCCGGGCTCGTGAAATATTTCCACGATGGCCTGCGCATTGTCTCGAAGGCAGGTCAGGATCTCTTTGGCGGTGTCGAATGCATTGCCGGCGAGTGTGTCCAGCAAGCGTTGAATAGTTCCCATGTTCTGTGCTGTGTCCAGGACCATACCACAGTCAAACACTTTGGTCTGAAATAATTGCAGAATCTGAGAAGCCTCGCCGGTAAAGAATGGCTTTATTGCATCTTCTACATCCAGGAGCGAGCTCATCAAAGCAGTGCGATGCGTGTCACCTTCAAGTCGAGAATTAACCAGCTGGAGCCTTGTCCGGACACTAGAGGTCTGGTCAGTTTTGCACAGCTCGTCCCTGAAGAATGCAAACATTCCATTGCATATCCCACGGCGCACCAGGTTGAAGAACTTGTAGTGATGTTCCTCGAATCCTGACGTGAGCTCGTATATCCCAATGAAGTTGGCATCCACTGAGCTGAGAGGTGCATCAAGTCTCGGCTTCATTTGCTTGAATTTCTTCCATGGATGTTTGACGTAGCTGTCAGCTAGGGGGCTCAGCTCAAGCGCTGTCAGAACGCCATCGATGCCCAACCTTGCCCAGGCAATGCAATGCAGCAGTCTTTGCAGCCGCTTAATGTCTTCTTGCTTCGTTTGATGCGGCACAGAATTGGCAAGCACTGTTTTCGTGTCCTTGCTGAGCGTGAAGAGCGCCATGCCATCCCCGCCATGGGTTGCCTCATTTCTCGCTATGCTGCCAGCCAGGTTGCTAAGATGGATATATTCCGTGTTTGGCGAGAGAAGATGTTCCACGCTGTGGTAAACGTGAACAAGGCAGTCCCTGACGTTCTTGATCCACTCATAGTCAGTCAGGACGTAACCGACATCAGGAGACAGCGCACTGCACAAGTTGCTATTTGCCACCGTGCACACTATGTATTCGTGAGCTGGGCAATGATGCTGGCCAGGACCAATCGGGTAGGACAGGTGGCGTGTGTATTCGCTATCCACTTGCTCCAGCAGCGCTTTGACCTCACACAGATGCGAGCCTTGCTCTGCAAAAGCGGACAGCAGTTCATCATGCCTGCGTCGCGCATTCGGCACTCGCCTCAATGCCAGCCACCTTAGCAGTACTAGCTTGCGCTGGCAGGACATGTCGACATCATCAAAGTTCTCGATGGTGTGCACAATTGAGATATTTGCAGCAGCGTAGAGAGCTCTCATGTTGCCATGATGTGCATAGTAGTCGTCAAACTCCTTGCGAGTGTACTGACAGCTCTCCACACAAATCACAATGCGACGCAGCGTGTCTGTGTAGTTCACAAACATCGCCATCGTGCCCGCCTGAGCATGGTATGGCTGAAACTGTTCCGCTCCCAGGACTTTCTGTATGTGTGAGCAGATGCGCAGCAGCGCAAGAAGAGTGCCAGATGGCTCCTGGTGAAACTCTGGCTCGGAAAGCTGCAATATTCCCATCATAGTCGATGCCAGGCAGCCAGCAAGGATGGAGGTGCAAGTGGAAGTTGCCAGCGCCTGCTCGATTTCTTTCAGCTGTCTTTCTAGGTCATGATGCAAGTCTCTCACTTCATGTGCTTGTAGCGATTGACATGCTCCGTGCAGGCTGTTGCAGTAGGTTTTCCAGAAGAGCCTCATGGCACAGTGTTCAGACAAGAACAAACTGCTGCTGAAGTCAGACGACCTGATCGACTTCTGTACTTCCATCAAGCAATTGTTTGCTGCCAGGATGAGGTGCGCTGCTGATTCTGTCGCTTGCAGTGATATCACGCGTCCACTGAGGTTCGCTCCCGGCTTGTGGCACTGGCGGAGGAACTCTGACTTCATGATAGCATTGACAGTGTACAGTGGATTGCTACCCAGTGAGGTATGCAGGGAGATAAGTATGTCCTCCAGCGATGCCTCCATCTGGCTGCCATAGCCCAACCGAGCAAGGCGATCGAATATGCTGGCCGCTTGCTCCCAGCTAGTATAGAAGCTGTCGATTTGCTGTCCATTGACAATGGCCAGAGCAATACAGGAGAACGCCCATTGCTGCTCAACATCATCCGAGGTCAAACCATGTTCGATAACAGCACACGGATCATGGTGGGATAAGATCTGTGACTGATAGAAAGTGTCGAAGACCAGTTGCTGGACTGTCCTTAATGCACTATCTCTCCGCTCGTGTGTGCTTCCGTCCACAGAGGTGAATATATGGTGAAGTTTGGCCAGAGACACAGTCCTGTCGTGCATTTCAATGAGATACTTGAGCTGATCAGGCGGCATGTAATGGGCCGCGTGGACTTCCGACTGAAGGGTTGCTTGAGAACTCTGGCTTGAAAACTGAGTGGCCACTAGTTTGATCATCCTCCTGATGTTCTCATCCTCCAGATTGCTACAACTAAGTAGTGGCCATACCGCTTCGGCGGCTTCCAACATGCTCCACTCTGTGAGACTGGATGCTAGAAGTCCTTTGACGAGCCCCTCTACGGGCAGGCTGGGGTTGAGTTCGTCGTAGAAGCCGAGCCTAGCCTCGTTGCACACACTGTGGATCAGCGCTGCTGCAGGAACGTGCAAGTCACACCATCGCAGCTGCACCTTGTCCCAAGGTATACAGGTTGCCTTGGGATTGCCAGCATTGGCCGAGATGCACGCCTGCACGATCAGCAGGTACTGGAGAAGGAAGATGTTGGAACTGCAGCAGGTCATTGCCAGGTAGCCAGCTACAGTTGTGCTCTGTTGATGGCGACTGGTGGGCAGTGAGGCCACCAGTGCCCTGATAAGACCGTTTCTGAAGGCCAGGATGGTTGCTGCCAGATCCACTCTCACGGCACTGATGGCACACAGATTGCACGCATCCACGAGCAGTTTGAACTCTTCGGACTTGACCAGCTGGTTGTAGTGGCGTCCGTTGTTTGGCAAATGCAGCAGTACACAGGCGCAGATGTGAAGCACGCGCAGCCTGGCGTCGGCAGCACGTATTCCGGCGGCGTCTTGGCCTGTAGCATGGCGCTCAACCACGGCAATGTGCTTGCTACAGACCTCTAGGAAGAGACGCGTCTCCTCGCACACCGCCCGCAGGCCGACCTCAGGGCACAAGATCCTCACGCGGCGTGCCATTGACTTCAGATACGAGTCGAGCTGAGTGAAATTTGTAGGCCTCAGGCGCTGCAGCAAGATGTTCCAGTTCGTGTCGTTGTGCACCAAATGGGACATATGCACAACAGTCTCCTTTGCACTGGCCAAGTCTTCCACGGACCCTTCCTGAACAGAAGAGAGAACAAGAGCACACAGAGGAGAAAAGAACTTAATCTAGGCAAGAGGACGTAAGATATTGCACCCGTTTAATTTTACTAGGGGTGAAACGATTACACTTTTCAACTATCGTCTGACGTCATAAATCCGGCCTAGCATGGGCAAATGAATGACGTTATGATGATGTCACCAAATTTAGTGCAAACTTCAAACATGTATAACTCGAGAACGGCTGCTCTGATCAAACTGGGACTTTCACCATTGGAATCAGTGCATTTTTCGCTACAGGTTATGAAATTTGCATTTTAGGGTGAACTTCCCCATTAAAATTCCCTTGTATCGATTCGATTATCGATTATAATATCGATTACTGCGTCCTAGAACTTCCCATGCTACGCACAACTTACTTGACACAATGCACCATCAAGGTTTTGAATTGAGATGCTCAGTACAATTTCATAATTATTGTTGTAAAACCGGAAAGTCTACGAGTGAGGTGTCTGTGTAAAGATGCGCATACAGATGGGTGGCCAGGTAGCCATCCTTAAACTTTCTGCACGTTATCATGCCAAAATTACAAAAACACTTTCCGGATTTACAGTAACTTGATTACGTAATCACTTAACCGTATACGCGTGCGTGCGTGCGTTAGTGGGAATACAGCCATGTTGGACCAGAAAGAATCAAGTTATCACTGATTGGTCCACTAGCTACTTGACAAACTCGACAGTCACAGCCATATATGTAAAAATCGACATCAGATTGCACCAGGGGGTAAGCATTTAGGTAGACAGCATGGCACTATAGAACTATCGCTCAAAACGGTGCGTGCTTCAAAACCGCCTTTTGAAATTCTATGTAACTCAGTGTCTTTGCAGCACCCGGTCGCAATAGCGAGCATGGCCTGCTTGGTCCGACGCAGCCCAGACCAGTGATGGCATGTGCAAGTGTTATATTTTTTACAATGATCACAGCTCACAGGCAAAGACAAGAAATTGCACACGCAAGCATAGTGATTGGGAGCGTGCAGAAATCGTCACCGCGCAAAGAGTGACTGGAACGGATAGCTCGTGAGAAAACATCAGCATCTCACATTCAACTGACCCGTGTAATTTCCCGGAACCTATCCGGCTTGGATAATGGGTCTTGGTTTAAAAAGGTATCTTTTGGCAATGCTTACCTGAGCGAATGATTCTGTAAGACCGTTATCACCGTTGCTTCCAAAGCCACTGTTCCCATCAGCATGGTAATGAACTGTTCATAAAACACAAAACATCGACATATGCACACGCACACGCGTGAACATACACGCACACATATACACACGCACACGAACACACATACACGCACACACATACACACACACACATGCATACACATATACAATGTTCAATATTGTCAGACCTCTTCAAGTGAACTGGCAACAAGTATCCAGCCAGGGACTGTTGATTTTTGGCAGGAGTTTTCAAGAAGTGGCTACCAGTCTTTCTGACTTACGGTCCACTTCATGTAAAACTACCTGGGGTATAAAAACTCGTGAATAACCACAGCTTGCATTACCAAGTGTTGTTATTCGCAAGGTTGACTGTACTTGTGAAATGAGTGTATGAGTAAATGCATCATGAGTAAATTTTTAAAATGTGTAATTTTCATTTTCGTTTGTCCACTACACGCACATGCTCATCCATTATAAGAACATGCTCATCCATTATAAGAACATGCTCATCCATTATAAGAACATGCTTAGGCAACCCAGAATTAATTCGTTGTTTCGGGTCACCCGACCGCAAAATGTTCTGTCAGCCTGGAACACTGACATGACATTTCGGAATCGTAGGAAAGCATAATTCATATTCTGGAGAGCCGACAGTTGTCGCAGAGCAAAGGTGTCGACGTTGCAAACAAAGCAAAGCGAACGTGTTTTTCATTTTCGTCCACCAGGCGCAGTGAGAAGAAAAGCACTCCGCTCACTGCTCGTCGTTGCTATGTTTTAGTTCAGAACTTGACAGAGCAGGACAATGGCACCGAGGAGCAAGAAGAGTGGAAACTGAATAGCAATAGCAGCTAGCGTTTTTAAATCTTCGCCATCCCCGAAACGCCTGTCGGCATGCGAACAAGTCGGCACGATGTCAAAACTATAAAACGCAGAGATGTGACAATCGCCACTTCACGCAGCAGAGCAAGATGAACACGTTCAAAATAGAAGTCAACGCTCAGCCACTGCAGAGCTCAGGCCTCAACGTTTATTTTTTTATTTTTTTTACTTTAGCACCATATCCCTCACACACTCATACTCAGCCCAAGGCAACAAGGAATTGTTTTGGAGATAGTGTGCTGCTTCGAGTAACTGGTCTTGTAATGCAAAAGCTCGAAGAGCTGGAAAGCAATGCCAGGCCACTGGCAGCAACTGGCTCGCAAGGAGGCGCAATAAACCCACATTGTGCCACAATGGGGTTGCAAGGCAAAGCCAATGCAATTGGCAACAACTGGCTCGTGAAGAGCCGCAACTAGCGAAGCAAGTGACCAGTTAGGAGCGATAGAGCTAAATGTTCCCTAGTACCATTAGCAAGATGATAAGATGGGAGGGATGGAGGGTGAAAATTTGATGCTGGCACAAGCTAAAAGTCACCACTAATTAGACTAGTCTTTGAAGTGAAGCCAACAGCAAGAAAGAAAGAGAAAGTTCAAAGGAAGCAGTTGTACGATGTCAGGCTAGCGCGCCCGAATCCATGCGCTGGCAGTGTGAGTGCAGTGAGCAAAATTTCAAAGGAAGCAGTTGTGTGACGTCAGGCTAAGCGTGCCCAAATCTATGCGCTGGCAGTGTGAGTGAAGTGCGCAATGCACTGATGCAGCGGTGCGCGGCAGATGCAAACATGGCAGTGTGATCGGCGGATGCTAACACACACTAACTACATTACTGCGACAGAATACCACAGTACCATCAGATGCTGCACAGCGGGGGCGGTGGCATATTGGATAGAAGTGGGGGCGGGGCAAAAGTAACTCCTCCGACCAAAGGTCTCGGAATCATCGTTACTCCTGTGCGCCGATACATAGGAGAAAAGAAACATGTGCATCCAAGAGGGAAGCACCGGCTTTGCAAACGATAATGGGGAGAATTTGAGATTGAGATAGGACAAAACAATAGTAAAAGCAGTGCACCGTAGGAAGATGGAGAGAACTGATAATCGGATTTTAAGGCTGAGCGAAGGGGATCAAAGAGGGGTAGAAGGGAGCTGGAGTGCGGTCAGTATAATTAGGCTGGTGTGTTGGCAGAGATCATAGCCTGTCTGTGGCCCACTCCCACTTGCTGCGCCGCAAGTGGTCGTTGACGTTTTTCTTGAACGTGTGCATACCTCTGCGAGAAGGGGGAGACTGCAGAAGGGTAGGTGGGAGCCGATTCCACGTTGCGATGAGGGAGTGGGGAAATGAGCGGAGCGTGTTGTTTCGTGACTGAGGAGGAAGAATACTGGTGAGTTGCGATGGATGATGTGTTGCAGATCTGGTTGTCTCACGAGTAGACATGCGGCATTGCGGTGCGGCTGCTGATGGTGGCAGAATGGCTTTCACCATTTCCGGACCCTCCACAGAGTGCAGCTTGTACAGAAAGCAGAGCCCTGCTACGGTACGGCGAATGTCGAGGCTCGGGAAGTATGATCCATCTCCAATTATGTGCAGGGCACGGCGCTGGATGGCAGTGAGGCGGGCCAAGGTGGTGGGGGCTGCGCTCATCTACACCAGCATGCCATACTCTAACACAGGGCGGACAAAGCCACGGTACACGATTGCCCGGTGCTTGATGTCGCCTTTTCCAGCAGCCTCGACGATGTGTCCTTGGTCGCATAGGAGAACAGGCGAGATCTGATCGGGGCAGTCGGGAAGTGCTGGTACAACTATGATATCCCTCGGAGGAAATTTGAAATGTTTGGCTCTGCCTGTGTTTGTCCTCGAGCGAGAGCGGAGGCGGTAATGAGTACCAGTGCTGCAGCGGTACCGAGGTGTCCGCCGAGATGTTGGAGAAGGCATTCAGGTAACAGCGAATACGATCAGGAACGCGGAGAATCTTCTCCGCGACATACGACATCGCGTCGATCGACCTGCCACTTGGACCGGCTTCAGCCGTGATGAGTCGAGCGATGGCGATCCAGACTGAGACTCTACTCCCACTAATCGATCCTGTAGATATTGTAGACATGTCGATTGAACGTGTTGAAGTGTTTCTCTTCCAAAAGAACACTTCTGTTGAGCACAGTAACTCCTTGAAAAGTCATGTAAAGAAGTCACGAAGTTTTTATTTCCGGGGGAAGTACTAGTAAGCTGACTTACTAACCGAAATTGGGATGAAATGGGCTGCCAAGTGAGCATTGGCGACATAATAGCAAAGCTGAAAGATAAGCAACAATATTGCTGACGCGGACCAAGTAATTGCGTTGCTTTGCGTGTGTGTGTGTGTTTGTGTATGTGTGTGTGTGTGTGTGTGTGTGTGTGTGTGTGTGTGTGTGTGTGTGTGTTGACATGACAGGACAGTCAATCATTTTCATGGGATATACCAGAAAGGTTCTGTGTTGTACACATTATTCAAATTTTTGACCCCAGTGGTAATTTTTCTCCTAATATTTCTCTACACTATTTCTTCCTATTTTCATCGTTTTATTGCACATTGTCTCCACCGTTTAACATTGAATGAATAAAGTATAAACAAACGTCGATTCAGCTTGTCTTATGATTGCGGTTATCAAATTATTGTCTCCTCGCCGTTTGTTTAAATAATAATAATTCATTTTTAATTAAAATAGAAGAAATCACGTGGAAACGAGTTACGAAGGCACTATCCACGACTGTAACAAGATAATTAGCAGTCGGAAAGTGCGATAACAGGGCACAAAACTGACATGTTACTGAGACATTCAACAACCTAAGACCTAGCTCTCACACACCTCGAGTGCGCAAACCAACAGCCTTCCAGCTTGGAAGGTTCAAGGTTATGGCAGGATCAATGAGGGGAATGTGAGAGCAACAAAGAATGCCGACTGTTACAGGGCCATGACGGGACCAGTTAATAACATGAAAATGCGGTCTAACTACAATTTGAAGCAGCAAAGCAAAACACCATCCAACTTGGGTGGGTCAGCAATATCAGAGATAAAGAATATGTCTCAGTAACATGTCAGTGTTGTGCCCTGTTATCGCACGTTCTGACTGCTTATTTTGTTACAGTAGTGGATACTTCGAAGTAGATGCTTCGTAACTCGTTTCCATGTGATTTCTTATAGCGTAACCAAGGAACTGCAGGTAACGCTATAATGTCCACTAACACCACCAGTTACTAAACAATCAGCTCATGGGATAACATTGCACGACACTGACCGACGGTACTGATGTTCTTCAACTAACTGGCTAATAGATCTAGCACATATTGGATGCGCATTCCATCAGCCTTCCAACTTGGAAGGTTCTCAGTTATAGGAAAAATATAAGGAGGGGAAAGAATAATAATTAACACAATAAATAGAGCAAGCTGAGCACTCAGTACAAACACCATGAGCAAATCTGGTTTTCATGTAGAATTATTCCTTGAACGTTTTCGTGCTCATCTCTTCAGAAGGATTAGTGGCAAATCAAAAACAAGACTTGCTTATGGTGCTTGTACTGAGTGCGCAGCAGCTTGCTCCATTTATTGCGTTACGGTAATTACTTTTCTATCTACAGGTAGGTTTTTGAAGAAGAGGTTGGTGCTACTTCGGCGATACTTGGGGAATTGAGTGTTGCTCCCTGCATGGGAGCTCGCGGTTTTCCTGCCGACTTGAATTCTCACCTAACTGACTCACGACTGCCAGCCAGAGCACACGAGAAGTACATCGAACCGTCCACTCGGCAAACCTGCAAGAAAGCACCACTCCCTGCTCACTACACAGTGGTTCGGGGAATTCACCCCTCATCAGTTGGGGTTGAGAAGGCTGAGGAAAGCTCGCGCTGGGGACAACAAAATTTTTGTCACCAGCTAATTAGATGATTTGGAGGCAACAACGTTGTGAATGACCAACGGTCCTCAGCGCTTGTCCAGCACCTCCATAAGCGACACTGACTCACGCTGCTATCTGGTGTTCACGAGGTGTTTGTCGCGCTGGAAACGGAGCTTCTCTGTTAGCTGGTATCCCTGGTGACGTTTGTGCCTGGAGAGAGCACTATATAAGTGGTGTTCTTCAGGCACAATCTTCCTCAGCCTACTCAAGCTCAACTGATGAGGCGTGAATTCCCCGAAACACTGTGTACTGAGCAGAGCGTGGTGCATTCTTGCAAGTTTGCCGAGTGGACGGTTCGATGGAATTCTCGTGTGCTCTGGATGGCAGTCGTGAGTCAGTCAAGTGAGAATTCAAGTCGGCAGGAAAACCGCGAGCTCCCATGTAGGTAGCAACACTCAATTCTTTACGTAAGCTTTTTAATAACGAGAGAGCGTGGAAGCTCAGGGCCCTACGCTATGCTTTCCCTGAGCGAAAAAAATAAACTTTCTCTTTGCATGCGAGGGTAATACGACACCGTCTACCACCTTGATGACCTAGGCAAAAAAGCATAGGGATGTTATAAATTTTTCATTTCTCCTATTTTTTTCAAGACATAACCTAGGATTCGAACCCGCACTATCGCCCTGCATGCACTCCCCCGATACACTTTGCATACGTACTCATTCTTCCAAGTTGCTTCACGTTATGATCTTGCATTTGAAAGCCCTATTTGAATATTGTAGCCAGCTGTCTTTGATGGTACGGTACCTGACAGGTACAGGATAGCGCCAGGCATGCCAGCAGCACAAACACACGAACACACAAACAGCTGTGTGGACCCTGGCTAGCGCCAGACGTTACTGAAGTAACGTCTTTTGCATAGCTACGGGAATAAAAATAACCCATTCTTTTGAGGGAAAGGCGCAAACGGGAAAAGTCTGAATAAAAACTTGACTGCCAACACCAGGACTCGAACCAGGGACCCTCGCTTGAGGCCAGCAATGCTCTAACCACTGAGCTATGGTGTAGTCGTTATCCCAGCCGAGACCGTCTAGCATTTTCCATTTTCTTCAGACTTCGTAACTCACATTTCCTAATGACAATAATAATGATATATTGTCTACCTATGCATCTATGCAAGAACGCACCGCCAGCCAATTAGGACATGTAAAAATGACATTGTATAGACGTCCAATGCAAATGAGATCTTGGTAGTTTTGTCGTTGAACCGTTTTAGCATTAATAGCACTATCGAAAGATATTGAGCACTTTTGTGCAGCGGATCTCTACCTGCTTTTGTTAAATGTCCATCAGTATATTTTCACACGTCCTAATTGGCTGGTGGTGCATTCTTGCGTAGGTGCATGTATAGACAAGATATTTTACTCATGTGTTCTGCCTCCATCCTAGTCTTAAATAATATTATACAAGAATAGGATTTTAGAACCGGTGTTGCTGTGCTCACATTGTGGACGGGAATCCTCTAGTGCTGTCACCGGCACAACACCCAGGTGGCCAGTGCTTTTGTTGTGCACGAAGAACTCCTGGCTGGGCAAGCAGTCCAGCACGGTCACCTCCTCGCCGGGTTTGCACTCGATCCGTCTAGGTTTGCTTGCGGACGGAGGTGGTACGCTCTCGCAGATGTGTGCGGCAAAGGGGAAATCTGCACGATACAGAAACACACATAACAGACATCAACAGTGCTATTTACATGGAATTTTTGTAGTGGGTATGTTTGTTACATGCCGTTTCGGTAAAGCTCATAATCCAGAGGATGGCAGTGAGCAGATCAGAGCCACCAGGGCTTGTTAATCAACTTCACGAACTCCTAATCGTTGCATCAATGTCACTCTCATGCCAGATTACGACTATCCAAATCAAATTTGGGTCGCACCACGGGCGGAAAATCATTCCGCATCCAAGCAGGTCTCAGAAGACCCCACTTTGCACAGCTACACTTCTGAGGGTAGAGGGATTGTAGGTCCAAACTGAAGTTTGAATAACGTTAAAGGGGAAGTGCATCGATTTTTCGAGTAGGGTCCAGAAGAAAAACAATTATTTTGATATCGGTTCGAATGGCATATCTCTCGCTTCCATACGATACGCCAAACTTGCCAAATCGCCAATTGTATACTTGCGTTGCCATAGCGACCAGCGCAGTGATGACGTATGAAAGGCTTAGCTCCACCACAGAGTAGGTCGATCACTTCAGAATTTGGTCATTTTCAATTGGTTTATTGTATTCACGAAGCGAAAGAAGGGCTGTGTTCAATGCTGTTAGTGCAGTGAACTGTTTGTTAGTAGTCCTCTCGGTTGTGTACTGGGACGTGACACCGACAGGAGAATGCTGGAGTGCGGAGACATCAGCAGACAAGAGAAAATAGTTACGAACAAAAAGCTGAAATCTTGGTTGGGACAAATCAACGTTCAGCATTTCCCCAACCAAAGACCATGCCATTTGCTCTTTCCACTTCCTGAAGATGGATGTGATGCTCCCTGGCGACTCTCCTATCTCTCGTAACATCTTCTGAAGCCAGGTGAGACGACGGGTGGTGGAGATTGACGAATGAAATAATGCCGTAGGTTTGAAAGTTTGCTGAAAATGTCTCAGGAGAGATGACGAGTACCAAGCATCTTCTCCTAGGGGAACCATTTCCTAGGCACAGTCAGCCTAGGGAAGTGCAAGAGAAGGCCGATAAACAGTTCACGGCACTAATAGCATTGAACACAGCACTTCTTTCACATCGTGAATACAATAAGACAATTGAAAACGACCAATTTCTGCATTGATCAACCTTCTCTGTGGTGGAGCTAAGCCTTATTATTATTATTATTATAGACAACACCTCATGGCATGAGAAGAAAATCAGCCAGTACGGGAGATGTGGGTGTTAACCAACCATGGTGAATAAAAGAAGAAAAGTAATGGTCAAGACGGAGAAGCATGGGAGGGACAGGTGATGGTGAATCTAGTGAGCAGATTTAAATGCGTCCAGGGTACTGGCATTGCGCGTAGTAGCGGGCAGCGCAAGCCAAGCAGAGTAAGCAACAAAGAGTGGAGAGCGTACAAGGGAGGACGTTTTAGCCAAGGGGAGGGCAACAGAGCATCTTGTCTGGGAGCCATCTGTGATTCGGAACCAGTTATACACGTTAAGATGAGGAGGATGTAGAGCTAGTTTAAATTTGTGAGCAAAAGTGCAAATTAATTTTTGACGGTGGGTCGACAGTGGGCAAGCATTTGCAAGGACATACAGGGAAGCAGAAGGGTAGAGAGGGGGTAGACTAAATAGGATACGAAGAAGTTTTCTATGGTGGATTTCGAGATGCTCAGCGAGAACCGAGGACAAGCCACACCAGCTAACAGCAGCGTACATGAAAAGAGGCAGGATGTACAGTTTGTAAAACAAAATTTTACATTTGAAAGGAAGATGGAAACAATGGGGACGTATAACACCTAGGGCAGAGCTTGAACGGCTGCAAAGAGCATCAATATGGAAAGACCAAGAGAGACGATCATCAAGCATTATTCCCAGGTGTTTATGGTTGGAAACAACCTTTATGGGTTCTGGGAAATCAGGATGGTGTAAAAGTGACATGGATGAGATTGGGGGAAGGAACATTATTTCGGTTTTAGTCAGGTTGGGTCTAAGTCGCCATGTTTGCATCCAGCGTAGGACACTGCATATCTGAGCCGACACTCGAGGCACAAGAGCCGCTGAGGACGAGGATGCTGACAGTAGGGTTGTATCATCAGCAAATAACGAGACACCTGGGTCTATAGAGGGTAAATCATTTACGTATGCTACGAACAAAAGAGGTCCAAGTATGGAGCCTTGGGGAACTCCAGAAGACACTGGTAGAGGATCAGAGTTGATGGAGAGGGCAGAAACAAACTGGGATCGGCTACTCAGATAGGACTCCAGCCAGGACAGAGCAGGGCCAGACACACCAAAGACAATATGTAGCTTGGCAAGGAGGCCACGATGCCAGACAGTATCAAAGGCCTTTGCCAAGTCAAAGAAACAGAGAGCAATATGGTGTCGAGCATCACGAAGGGTGGCAATGTCTTGTACTAGACGAGCTAGTTGGTCAGAGGTTGAGTCGTTGCGCCGAAAGCCAGATTGGGAAGGGCTAAGGCATGGTGAAATGTGGCAATACAACTGGTCGTAAAATACCTTTTCACATACTTTTGAAAGGGAGCAGAGAAGAGATATTGGACGATAGTTTGAGGCTTGTGATCGGGAGCCTTTACACTTGTAGGTGGGCGTGACCTTAGCGATCTTCCAGCGATCAGGAAATACGCCGGAGGAGTAGGAAAGGTTGAATATAAGGCACAGTGGGTACGCCAGAGATGGAGCCAGAACTTTGAGAACTTCATTTGGTAGGGCATCAGGACCAGGGCTTTTGTTGCTTTTTAGTCTTTTTAGGTAGGTGCGAACAGATGATGTGGTGGTATGTATAGAGCGCAGATCAGAAGACACAGTCGCAGAACGTTGCAGAGGTGGTATTGGAGAGGAATGGTCGTCTGGAATACCAGCTGATGTGAATTGCGTATTGAGAGTATTAGCTATAGACTTGGGGTCAGTCACCATCGAACCATTGGAAGCTAATAACGGTGGTATGTCTTTCATACGTCATCACTACGCTGGTCGCTATGGCAACGTGAGTATACAATTGGCGATTTGGCAAGTTTGACTTATCGTATGGAAGAGAGAGATACACCATTCGAACCGATATCAAATTGCCTTTCTTCTGGATCCTACTCGAAAAATCGATGCACTTCCCCTTTAAAGGGGAAATTAAGGCAAAAAATAAAATTTCACCAGTTGTAGGTTTCGGGGTGCTGAGTCGAATGGTCGTGGTCCGAGGAAGCTGAGACGCTCCCTTCCTACTTGAATCCCAATCGAACTCGCGCACTTCCACCGAAACTGGGTGACTGCGCCCTACTAGATGGGGATTTGTATGCAAAATGTCACTAAAAGCGCCATTTCGTTCTTATAAAAGCACGAATGACCGCGATTGGCCCATATGTTGTAGTCTTTTGGACGCTGAGTCGACTGGTTTTGGTCCGAAAAGGCTGCGATGCAGCGTTCCTCCTTTATTCCCAATTGAACATGGTTGAACAAGCGGTCACGTGCTCATGCGTACGCCAGTCACCTGGTCACCGTGCCTGCAGGGTACAACTTACTAGCCTGTTTGACCTTTTTTGGGTGCGGTCCTGTCACTCGAGTTGAACCTTGGTGTGAAAGTTGTCGCCTGCTGGCGTGGTGACCAGGTGATTTGGGCACCCAGGAGCACGTGACCGCTTGTTCAACCATGTTCGATTGGGAATAAAGGAGGAACGCTGCATCGCAGCCTTTTCGGACCAAAACCAGTCGACTCAGCGTCCAAAAGACTACAACATATGGGTCAATCGCGGTCATCCGTGCTTTTATAAGAACGAAGTGGCGCTTTTAGTGACATTTTACATACAAATCCCAATCTAGTAGGGCGCAGTCACCCAGTTTCGGTGGAAGTGCGCGAGTTCGATTGGGATTCAAGTAGGAAGGGAGCGTCTTAGCTTTCTCGGACCAAGACCATTCGACTTAGCACCCCGAAGACTACAACTGGTGAAATTTTAATTTTTGCCTTAAAGGGAAACTGAACGCCAAAAATAAGTATGGCTTATCCGAAGGGGAATTGGGCACTGATTCCGATGAGCTATGTCTCGAGCCGATCAGAGAAGAGGAACCGTGTCAAATTTCATAAATAACACCTTCCATATTTGGAAATTGGGCTTGATGACGTGCGTACTGCTTAGCTGTCACCATGCTGTGCATGCTCAGCAGTGTAATTGAATGGAAGAAAACAATTACTTTGGTGTTTTGCAGCTCTATTTCGTTCCCTGACGGTAACCAAATCTAGATGTAGGAATCTGTTGAGCAGGAGAGTGACACATGTCTTCCCGAAGGCTGTCCAGGCTGCAGTGGTGATGAAGAAGACACGATCATCACCCCGAGATCGATTGTAGCGAATTGGAAAACTCATGGTGAATTTGCTTCCACTCCAAGGCAATGTCGAGGTATGAAGGGTGCTTGTACTGCCTTCCAAAGTGAAGAGGAGATGAACATGGCTGTGCATAGCTGTTGTTCTATGCCAACTTACTTACCTACTCTTGCTGGTACCGTAGACGTAGTGCTATATTGCGAATTTCGTGGACGAACAACTCTAGTCACTAGTGGCTAGTGAGCAACACTAACAGGTGAGATTTTTAAATTTGACAAAAATTGTTTTTGTTTGAGAACTGACAGTGGTAGTCATTAGACTCAGTAGGTGTCTCTCTGCTGCTTCTTTCCCTTCATCGGTAGGGTTGTGCTTGAAGTAAAAATAAATAGAAAATGTGGAACAAAAATCTGATCATGTAGTTCGAATTTCAACTTCAAAGTATGTGTACATCAAATCACAAAAATTTCAAGGTGGTGCTGTGCATTGAAAAAGACTGGGAGCTGGCAGCAATGGAAAGGGTAGAAACGAAACCAGTAATGTAGAGTATTCATAAGGTAGAGGGAGCTGAAAACGGGAGAAGAGTAGTGAGCATTTCAGTTCGAAGTAGTGTAAATAGACAGCATTGTGTTGTGAATATTGTGTGAATCTTATAATTGGCGGAGGGTAGTGATTAGGCAGAGCATTGTTACAATACAAGGTACTTTGTGAGCAGATAGAAATCAATATCACAGCATGGTTTAGACAGGAACCCATAAATGGCACGAAATTGCTAATCCAAATATATTATCCCCTGAGTATGAGTAGTATTTTTTATTATGGTGTTCTCCTGTGTTTACATGCAGAGCCTTGACGTTGCTGGACGAGTGACAATATAAATTACATAAACATGTAGCTCATGATGTGGAATGACTGCCGTATCGCATTGCCAACGCAAACCCATCCTGTGTCAGTGCAGCCATCCAGCAACTTCAACTCCCCGGACCAGATGCCGCTGCAGCTGAACACCATGCCGATGGAAAGCCAGGAGTTGATAGCGAAGCATTCTGGTCTGCACAGTACAAGGCAAAGAACAATTATGAATTATAACGCATAGTAATCCTTCCCACACTTCTTTGTAAAAACAAACAAACAGTGCCATTATCACAACACTTGATCAAGCATCTTGATGGAGGTATTTTCCATTGTGCTGGCCTCGCATCTGCACCAGGAAGACCATGTACACTTACACGTATATTGTGTGTGTTCGGGCGTGTGTGTTTGTGTATTTGTCTGTGCACACGTGTGTGTGTGTGTGTGTGTGTGTGCGTGGGTCCTACGCACATGTGTATGGGTAGGAGTGTGTGTGTGTGTGTCGGGGGAGGGGGGGGGGGGGTACATGCACATGTGTATGGATGTGCGCGCTGCACGCGCATGTCTGTGGGATGGGGTGGGGGTGCACGCACATGTGTACATGTGTGCGCGCACTGATACAGCATGTGTGTATGTGTTCGTTGAACACATGGTGTCCTCTTGATTCCATAAACTTTGTGATCATTGTGATTTCATGTGCTTTGAAGTTGAAATTCGCAATACATGTACTCATGCTTGATTAGATTTATGTTCCACATGTTCTATTTATTTTATTTTACTTCAAGCACTTGTACTATTCAAGCACAACCCTACGAATGAAGGGAAAGAAGCAGCAAAGACACCTACTGAGTCAAATGACTGCCACTGTCAGTTCTCAAACAAAAACAATTTTTGTCAAATTTAAAAATCTCACCTGTTAGTGTTGCTCACTAGCCACTAGTGACTAGAGTTGTTCGTCCACGAAATTCGCAATATAGCACTACGTCTACGGTACCAGCAAGAGTAGGTAAGTAAGTTGGCATAGAACAACAGCTATGCACAGCCATGTTCATCTCCTCTTCACTTTGGAAGGCAGTACAAGCACCCTTCATACCTCGACATTGCCTTGGAGTGGAAGCAAATTCACCATGAGTTTTCCAATTCGCTACAATCGATCTCGGGGTGATGATCGTGTCTTCTTCATCACCACTGCAGCCTGGACAGCCTTCGGGAAGACATGTGTCACTCTCCTGCTCAACAGATACCTACACGTCAGGCGAAATAGCACGTCATCGTACATTTGAGATCAGCGGGAAGAAGATGACGACGTCCACTAATTTAGTATCTTTGCACACGAATCTGCTGTGTGTGTGACTCTGTGTGTCAGCTATGATATCATCTTCTGTGGTTCCATGCCTAGCATGTACGTCTGAACCATCCTGCAAAGTTTGAATGACGTAGGTTGAGCGATCGCTCCGCGAAATTAAACTTTTTGAAATTCTCTTCATAGTATATCTTCCACCATTGAAATTTCGAATTTCTTCAAAAAAAGTGCTGAGAGGGGTGGCTTGCAACCTCGATATGGCTTGTTCCAGGTATGCTTTGGAGCCATCTTCTGTTGAAGTAGTGGCGGGGATCTGCCCTGCAACTGCTACAACAAAAAATGATTCGATCTGAGAAAGGGTGAGACCGCGAATCTCGGTTGAATATTGAGTATTTCAAGCCTTTTCACGACGAAGATGGAGTTCTTTTTGGAGATGGACGTCGCGGCAAAGGACATGGTGTCCGACGTCTGGCGTCTGGTGAAGCCAGGGATCATTTGTCCAGTCAGGTCGGCAGCCTAACCGTCGGTAAGCTTGTGTTTGGATCCCGTTCTGCTCGATGTGGTAGATCACAAACAATTTTGATATCGCACAAATTGATCTCAGCATCGTGCGTACGGTATTTTATATTCAGAAAATCCCAAAGTGTCTCTGTGTGGCCGTCCTATGCCACGAGAAACTCCAATCAGGCTCCTATGTCCTCTGCCTTCATGATTGAATGTTCACTTCGTTTGAACAACGAACACAACAATCGAGGACGGCTTTGCAATGAAAAATACAGTTATACTGGAGCTGAAAAAAAAGAAGAAAAAAACGTGCTCAGGATGAGACTCGAGTACACGCATACTCTCCCAGCAGGTGAAACGCAAATTTTTGTGAAAAATGCGTGACGCCGACTGACCAGTAATTTCGCCTGACGTCTAGATTTGGTTACCGTCAGGGAACGAAATAGAGCTGCAAAACACCAAAGTAATTGTTTTCTTCCATTCAATTACACTGCTGAGCATGCACAGCATGGTGACAGCTAAGCAGTACGCACGTCATCAAGCCCAATTTCCAAATATGGAAGGTGTTATTTATGAAATTTGACACGGTTCCTCTTCTCTGATCGGCTCGAGACATAGCTCATCGGAATCAGTGCCCAATTCCCCTTCGGATAAGCCATACTTATTTTTGGCGTTCAGTTTCCCTTTAACTTCCCCTTTAACACGAACCATAAAGTGACGTGAGCACAGTATTGTGAGTACATCAGTCAAGTACACGTACCGGTACCGTATTATCTCCATTACAAGCGCAGTCTCTTGTAGAACAAGTACACGTACCGGTACCGTATTATCTCCATTACAAGCGCAGTCAAGTACAAGTACCGGTACCGTATTATCTCCATTGCAAGCGCAGTCTCTTGTAGAACAAGTACACGTACCGGTACCGTATTATCTCCATTACAAGCGCAGTCTCTTGTAGAACAAGTACACGTACCGGTACCGTATTATCTCCATTACAAGCGCAGTCTCTTGTAGAACAAGTACACGTACCGGTACCGTATTATCTCCATTACAAGCGCAGTCTCTTGTAGAACAAGTACACGTACCGGTACCGTATTATCTCCATTGCAAGCGCAGTCAAGTACACGTACCGGTACCGTATTATCTCCATTGCAAGCGCAGTACATCAGTCAAGTACACGTACCGGTACCGTATTATCTCCATTACAAGCGCAGTCTCTTGTAGAAGCCCAGTCTCCAATATAATCCCAGGGTCAGGATTGGTTGAAAATATATAAGCCTAGAATGGACCGGAGGATGTACCCAGTGTGCTGACAGCGCTCAACACCGTGGAGGCAGAGTGTAATACAGAACGGAGCAACAAGGACAATCAAGGTGTGTTTGCTGCTACTTCAAGTTTCATGCTCTTGCAATCATCAGGCAACATCTTTTCCCTGATGATTGCAAGAGCATGAAACTTGAAGTAGCAGCAAACAAGCCTTGATTGTCCTTGTTGTTCTGTTCTGTAAGCCCACAATGGAGATAATATGGTATGTGATGAGAGAAGTCCATCGGGATGTGCACTGAGGACCCTAAGTAAGGCTTAGAGGGGTTCCAAATGAGGGATCATCGTTTGATACCCATTCTATGTATCTCCTGATTAACGATGCGACACAATGAGCATACATGGATCGCTACCTTTTGGACACTTACTGACTGCAACAGGAATGGCAGGGTTCTCATCATCGGGCATCGCACTTTCATTCCTGACATCGCTATCATCTCCCTGAGCCAATGCCAGGTTGTCACGAGGTGCCTGGCCGCATTCCCGGACTGGGTTGAGCACGCTTGCATCATGATCTAACAGATGCATGGCCTGCACAGGAGAGCCAGGGGCACTGGCGTTGCTCACATGTTGCGTCAGTGCATCGAAACGCTGTGCATTGAGTGCTTCGAACTCGTGCCCCGGAGTCACCGGCACACTTGCAGATCTTGGCGGAGTGGAGTAGCCTGCACTGCCGTGCTCGTTCACAGTGCTGGCCGCATGATACCCATCGGTTTCAGGCACATGTGCTTGTCCTCGGTGAGTCGGCAAAGGGACGCTGGCAGAGCGTACAGATGCATTCCCGAATGGCTTTTGTTCACCTGCGCGCCCTGGCCTTGCTGACTGCTGGCGATATACAGCAGGTATGGGTCGACTGGGGCACAACACAGGTGCACTAGCTGTCCTCTGCAGGGTTGATCTGTCCACATCACCAGATTCGTCCGCGACTATGGCCGACTCGCGCGCATCCACCTCCGCAACACTCTCCAGTCCTGTTTGGCTAGTCAGTGGTAGGCTTGCTGAATGTCGCACACCACCTGTACTTTGCTGCAGGGAGCTCGACGTACGGGACCGCTGAAGCAGTCTCTCCAACTCCTGCTCCGCTAGCAACTGCCTTTCCGGGGGTCTTCCAAGACCGGCCGCAAATTCAGAATGCGGGGAGCTCATCACAATATCGTTCTCTTTGGCTTATCCAATCTATCAAGCAAAAAACGAAATGTTACACAAGAACATCATCTAAAGTCTACTTGGCTAATAACGACTGCGGATATAACGACAATTCGCGAATAACGAGAGAATTTCCGTGCCCAGAGCAAAGTCCCATCCAACTGTAATACATATAATGAGACTTCGGGGATAACGACACTTCGCGAATTAGGACACTTTTCTGATGCCCCGCCGAGTGTCGTTATAAGCGATGTTGACTGTACATATAATGAGACTTCGGGTATAACGACACTTTGTGAATAACGACAATTTTGTGTCGTTTTAAGCGAAGTTGACTGTACCGTATTTCCCTGATTGTAAGTCGCACCAGTTCTAACTGGGTCATGCTCGATTGTAAGTCGCACTCGATTTGTCGGCCCTGAAATTAAGTGTAGAAAGGTGCGACATATATTCAGGGAAATACGGCAAGTGTCTAAATAATACTTCAAACAGTAATAATTGCACAGCCATAGCAAGGGAAATTTGAACCAGAACAAGAGTCATTTTACTACATTCTCAACCCGTCACAACCAATATTTAATAGTACGAGAGTCAGCTATAAACTTTCACGGCTGCATGCGTGAATGCTCAGGACGTCAAAGCCGAGTGACCTTCGACTGGGTAACTGTGCACTAGAACCTGGGGAACGAGGAAACAAAATGGTACGGTGCAGCCCAATGAAATACAATCAAGTGAGTCCATGCCACACCGGGCGGCTCATGGAATCTTGTGCAGGGCGACAGCTTGACTCACCCGATTGGATTTCAATGAGCAGCACTGAGCTTTGCTCAACCTTTGCCCATATCAAAGGTTCCTTCGGAGATTGAAGTGTGCCAATACAGATACTCATTATGCCCAATGCAGAAGTTGGAGAATTTGCAGAATTATCAAAGAAGCAAAATGAACTCAAGATCCTAATTGACTCCAACCTGGCCAATTGTGCCACGCTAAAACACGAAAGAAACCAGCTGTCGCATAGGATTCGCAGAATTCAACGTGATGAAGCAAACAAGAGAAAAGATAAGCTGGCTAAGCACGTAGAGAATGCACCCGACTCCACCAAGATGTTCATTGCCGCATCAGCTATGAGAGCTGGCAAGCAGCCATCGCTTACAGTTCACTCCCAGGATGGCCTTTCATTGCTTAGGAACTGTGACAAAGGAGATCGTGTTCGGGAGCATATTGCAAGCCAGTTCGCTGACCCAGCGACCACCCCGATGGCTCCACTAACTCTATGCCACCTGAACAACCCGATCACACCTCATGAAATCTCAAAGGCAGCATCTCAATTGAGAAATCTCAGGGCATGTAGACCAGACAATGCTCCTGCTCAAATATGCCACGAACGAGCTGGGATCAATCATCGCCTCCCTCATTTACACTTGCATCGACAACGGCACTGATATGTCATCCATCATTGGTACAGGAGCGCTAATTCCCACCAAACAAGACCAAGGGCCCAGTCGCTAACAGGCGTCCCATCATTCTGTTAAATACCGTACGAAAGCGCCTCTCTCTCTCTCTCTCTCTCTCTCTCTCTCTCTCTCTCTCTCTCTCTCTCTCTCTCTCTCTCTCTCTCTCTCTCTGGTCGTACTCAGCCGTATTTGCAGGCAAGTCTCCGAGTACCTGGGCGACTCGCAATCTGGGTTCAGAGCTGGTCGCAGCACAGCAGATGTAGTGTGGACCCGGGTATATCTCATTGCCAAGGCGATACGGTACCGCTGGGATTGCCACATCCTCGGCCTAGACATGTCGAAAGCGTTCGACACGATTAACAGGGATAAGCTCCTGGAAACCATGAAAAACATTATGGGCTCTGACGAAGTTTGCCTTATACAAAACCTGATACACAATACAACAATAACGGTCAAGATTGGGTCTGCCACATCTCAACCATTTCGCAGCACGATTGGTACCCCACAAGGGGATGGCCTCAGTCCCGTGCTATATATGCTACTTCGAGGCTGCACTACGTGAGAGTGCAGAGCCATTCCCAACCAGACCAGCAACAGACCACCTACTCCCCCACGAGACCCGATATGCAGATGAAATCAACTTCTATTTTAAGGACCGCAAGTGGCTAGAGACCAATCTGCCAACACTATTGGACACTCTCGGTACGTAGTTCTTAAATGGCAACCAATCGAAGACTGAGTGGATACATCTGACGGCGGACTCACACGATTGGAAGACCGATTGGGGAGGAGGAAGACTGTGGCAGACGAATGAGTCAGGCGAGGGTGCTGGGGGATTTCCCTTTGGCACGACGCACGCGGGATGGGACGCGTATCATCTCAGCCAGGAAGTCGTGAAGTATAGTCAAACCTCGTTAGGACGAACACTGACAAGGCAAACTTTCCTTTAGTACGAACTAGGGCCAATCCTATGGTTGGCCAAGCATCATATAAAGTCAAAATTAGTTGCTGTCTGATGATCGGTTAAAACCGTGAAACTCAAAGTTAGAGTAGAAACGCTTTTTGATTCCTCTCAAGTGTGTGTAAAGTCAAAATTATTTGTTTAGGACAAACTCCTCTACGGCTAACGTTCGTGAAAACGAACTAATTTCAAGCGTGATTCGAACAAAATCAGCGCGTAGTACGAACTTTCGGTCCCCGTCGGTACGCTGGCTGTAGGTTTTTCTGATAGTCGGGGCTGTGTTTTCACTTGTACTGGCAAAACATGTTACAAGGTGGAGGACATGCTGTCAGTAATTCATTGCACATTGTACTTACCTGTTGCTGGGTTATGTTATGAAAAATTGTTTTACATTTGCCACAGCATGCACCTCGCATCAATACAATCCATATGATATGCATATCAATTCTTTGTTAGATCTGGATAAGAAGAACTCCGGATATGACAAACAAACGTGTTCGGTCCCTTGAAGTTCGTCCTAACGGGGTTTGACTGCCGGTATTTTGACGACTCCCTGATCTCAGCTTTGCAGCACAGTTTGAATCGTGAAAATTGGTTGGACCGTTGAGCAAGAAGCCGAACAGGAACGCGATGTTGAGTTGTCGTTTCGTTCCGAGGCATGGTGGATTAGTTTGGAGAGGACGTGGAAGTGGCCCTGATGTGCCCATGGCGCTTCGAGATACCGGGACGATTTCTCTTGGTCCTGATCTTTCCAGCCGTTGAACTTGAAGTCCAGGATGATGGAAACCCATCAAAGGTGAACTGAAATGAAAATAGATTTCATTCGGAGCTGTCGTAACGACGTGCACTGCTGACTATGTACAATGATGTACAGGATAGAACAGCGTGCACCGCTGACTATGTACAATGATGTACAGGATAGAACAGCGTGCACTGCTGACTATGTACAATGATGTACAGGATAGAACAGCGTGCACCGCTGACTATGTACAATGATGTACAGGATAGAACAGCGTGCACTGCTGACTATGTACAATGATGTACAGGATAGAACAGCGTGCACTGCTGACTATGTACAATGATGTACAGGATAGAACAGCGTGCACTGCTGACTATGTACAATGATGTACAGGATAGAACAGCGTGCACCGCTGACTATGTACAATGATGTACAGGATAGAACAGCGTGCACTGCTGACTATGTACAATGATGTACAGGATAGAGCAGCGTGCACTGCTGACTATGTACAATGATGTACAGGATAGAACAGTGTAGTAGTGTACATCTGGTACTATGTACAATGATGTACAGGATAGAACAGCGTGCACTGCTGACTATGTACAATGATGTACAGGATAGAACAGTGTGCACCGCTGACTATGTACAATGATGTACAGGATAGAACAGTGTGCACCGCTGACTATGTACAATGATGTACAGGATAGAACAGTGTGCACTGCTGACTATGTACAATGATGTACAGGATAGAACAGTGTGCACTGCTGACTATGTACAATGATGTACAGGATAGAACAGTGTGCACTGCTGACTATGTACAATGATGTACAGGATAGAACAGTGTGCACTGCTGACTATGTACAATGATGTACAGGATAGAACAGTGTAGTAGTGTACATCTGGTACACGTGTGCACCACAGACACATCACTCGCCGTCACCGTAGTGACGCGCATTTAACCCTTTCCGTGCTGGCCCCCTTTACTCCAGCAACCTGCCTTTGCAGCGCACTGACTCTCCTCGTGTCATTTTCACGCACAGGTTTGAACGAGTGTTTCTCTCAATTCAGTTCACCTTGATGGATTTTCGTCATCCTGGGCTTGTTGGAAAGATCAGGACCAAGCGAATCCATCCTGGTAGCTCTCATCTCAATATGCACGGCGGTGCAACTTCTACGTTCTCTCGAAACTACCTCACGATGCCTCGCAAAGGCACAGGAACTCGATCTCACATTCTTTTTCGGTTTCTTGTTCCAGTTCAGCCGATTTCACGATTCAAACTGCGCTACAAAGCTGAGATCCACATGCTTTCGCCGGTGTCCATTATGCATGCGCTGTGCCAAAGGGAAATCCCCTGGCACGCCAGGCTGCGAACGCATGAACAAAAAAATTCACGATCGCTCAGTGCCGTGAATCCGCGATCCGTGTTGACACCGTCGCCGCTCTGTCAATCTTTCTCCTATCGCGAAGAACTTTACATGTATATCGCTAAAAAGCTGAGCTCAATACCTTTCCGTAATTCCAACGGTGTATCGATTGTCGAGATAGACTTATTTTTGACGGAGTTACGAAAGCTTGTACACTGATCTATGCACTGGGATGTACTGCGCAAATCTCATGACGTCTGCATTAGTCGTTTGGCGTACAGGGCACATGTGCCCATACCCGGGCATAAGCGCACCCTCACAAATAAGCGCATGGGCTTATAAGTGAACCTAAATGCAATTCCATCCCACGACACACGGAGTCAAGGACACCACAAAAACATAGCTTAATGTGCGGTGCGGTATCACACTATTTGATACAATGCACCAATACACTAGAAACTCAAGCGCATGCACCTGTACATGTGAAACAGAACTACCCGCAAAAAATAGC